AGCTTGTAGAGTCGTAGCTGACAACAGAACGCTCGTTGAGGGGTAGTGGGGTAGAGTTGGTTGATCCGAGGGGTGGGGTGAAGAGGGAGGGCTACGATATTGTCGAGATTCGTCACTAAGTGCATGGCAGCCCTGAAGAAGTCGATCGGACGGTTGGGGATAACACGGGAGTGGTTTTTGTTGAAATCTGATCAATACAAGACTGCTGCATGGCCATGGTGGGATATTTTCCAAAGAACAAAAGTAGGCGAAGAAAGCACTACAGGACGCACGCATCTGACCTCGAGTCCGGCGGCCCTGGACATGATGTCTTCCAATGGCCCCAAGACAGCCGAAAAGTCTTCTCGCCCTGAAACGGTACGCCATCATCGCCGCCGCCGTCGTCGTTGTTTATGTTGTTGTTGACGACGTTGTAGTTGTTGTTGTTTGGTGTTACATTGAAATATGTTGGTTACATGCTCCATGTTAGTCCTGAGACGGGATGTTGTTGTTGATGGTGATGTTTCTGCATTTGCTTCCGCTGTTGCTGTGGCTGTTGACATTTCGAAGCATCCGATTTTGATGCATGGTACCGTTGCTCCATTTTTTCTTTCGTCTTGACGGTGGTGTACTCATCTACCTCCTGGCAGCTCTCCGATTTTGTTGGCGAGAGGAAATGTATTCGTGGCACCTTTCCTAGCATAGGGCCAATCAATTCTGAATCCAGTGCCGAGGGACACGCACACAGACTCCCGGTGTTCAACAACGCGCCCGCCGTTACTTGCGATCATCCCCATTCTCTACGCAGCAAATGCGGCCCGTTACCACCTTTAGCTTCTGCGGCTCCATGTCTTCGCAGCAGCACCACGATAAAACTTAACATGTTAGATAGATAAAGATACTCAGGTGGGACGAAGACGTAGATCGCTCGACTATTCCGTCCATAGTATCGACCGCTGCGGTCTCTGCTCTGCACACCTACACAGCACACACGGCGGGAGCTGCATACACGGTAGGAACGCCACGTTTTCGCTGCTCACCCAGAGCCAGGCAAACGGTAGGCCCGGTCGCCACGCAGGTGGCCTTGCGGGTCTCGTCAGACAGCAGGGCCCGCTCTCCGAAGTAGCTCCCGGCTCTTTTGACGAGAGAACAAACAATCGAAAATGCGCGAACGACAGGGCCGGAGCGACCGCGCAAGAACCACGAGAAAATCGATGGGAGGTTGCACGTTTGTTGTACTAAAGTGTGTATGGATGGAGATGCCCATCTCCCCGGGATAATATCGGTTGCTAAGGACGGAAGCTGAACAACGAGGGCGGGAGAGGCTGGAGGGGGAAGTGTAGATTATGAGTTATGCAACAACAAACGAAACCAGGTTGGGATTGCGGAGCCGATTGCTCCGGGCGTTGATGATCAGAGTGTTCGCAACCGTATGTTTACTACGTAGAAGATGGAGTGTGAAAACTGGGGTTGGTGAATGAAAGCCCTAGTCCCTCCCATCGTTCTCGCGTCTCGCCGTCGATGCGTCGTTGAGACGGGCCCGGAAAAAAGTGACAAACCATGCTCAAACGACGACTACACGACGACAGCTAACAACGGCAACCAAACCCCAACCAGAGGTACCCCTTATTCACTGGCTGCCTCGGCTATTGACATGGACGAAGCGAAGCCGCCACAAGAACACGTCTCCACTCACTTGAGGATGGATACTTGGGGGCCGATTCCGTCTCGCCCGCCTCCCCCTTCCCCCCCTGCTCCATCTCCCCCACCCGTCGGTGAACCCTCCACGTTTCCCCCTTCCGCTTCCTCTCTCTTGTGGACTGAGATCGTCCCGGACTTCACGATGTAGAAAAAGTGCCCGATCTCGCCCTGCCTGACGATGCATTCCCCGTCGTCGAACTCTTCCTCCTCGAGTGCGTCCACCAGCTGCTCCATGTTGCCTGTGATTTTTTGTGTACGTTGCGGTTCGGTTCGGTTCCATACACATGTGAGAGGTTGTTGTCGCGAGCACATTTCATTGGGTGTAATTCGTTGCTTGGAGTTCTTGCTAGTGAAGCATGGACAGAGCACCCGAACCCCGCCCTGAGCTTCTGAAGGCACGCGTCGCCGTTTATAGCCCGCCTTCCGGACACTGCAAAACTTAGTGTGCACCGTGGGGGGTCTCACGATGCCAGTCGCTTCATCCACTGGATCGTTCGCCATCTTGCTGTGGGGTGCCCCGTATCCCTGCAGCGTTCCGCCGCAGCTTTCATTTTTCATGCCATGTTGCGCGCGTCGCTGCCGATCGGCCATGCTCGAAGCCCGTTGCAGCGACGTGACCATCACATCGGCGGCGTCTTGTGCTGCGTTTGGGTAGCTACGCATATAACAGGCTACGCTGAAGGGGGGTGTATCCTGCCGCGTATTCTGTTGGTAGGAAGAGAGATTCAGGTTTGAAGCCCGACAAGGCAAACGACGAGAGCGCTACCTACAATTACCGGAACCCGGCTGGCTGTTACAAGGCGGCAACAGCAACGGGAACAATACCTTGAGTAGCACTGAAACAGTTTAAGTCACCAGCGCATCCAAACCAGCAAAAACGATAGCAAGAGCTACAGCAACCATGTAACACGCAACGGCGTAAAAAAATTCAAGCGCCTTACAGCGGGGAACCCCTCTCACTCTTTGAGAGCTTGGACTTGAGAGTGTCTTTGCCGATGACCACGTTTCCGAGCATCTCCATCTTTTCGGAGACCATCTTCTCCCTGATGGAGATCAGGATGGCGCGCACCGTGCTCCGCTTGATGGACCATAGCTTGCAGTCCTCGGCAGCACGCAGCCTGTTTCGTCGCGCGCGCGGGAGGTTCGGGGTGCGGATCGATCCACAGGATCGAAGTGCGACAGTGAGTGAAAGCACAGAGTGTAGGCCATGCAGTACCATCTTGATCTGGTAGTCTAGGGGCTAAACGATAGGGTTAGGAACAGCAAGATTAACCCTTCGCCTATATCGTGGTTTGTCGCACATGGCGTCACTGCACTTTTATCCACTTTCCCGTTCTACAATCATAGGAATAGGGTTAGGACCAGGGCAAGAGGTAGAGGTTGTGGATGAAGGAAGGTCTGGCTCCGAATAAGGGCCTACGCTGGTACGGCCTAGGGCTTGGTTTAGACTGACGAGACTCGCCGCGCTCGCTGACTGTTTGACTCACGTTGCCGCGCGGGGGGTGTTGTACAAGAGGGCCAGCTCTCCGAAGCTCTCGCCCGATGTGTACGGTGTGCGGACCTCTACCTCCTCCTTCTCTCCCGGGAAGGTGACGTAGCACCGGAGAGACCCCTCCTCGACCACGTAAAAGTCCTCGCCCTTTTCATGCTGCGGTGCCGCCGGGGTGATTTTTTTTTCATCGCGCACACATAGGGGGGAAACTAAGGTTATAGCCGACGACTTGCACGCAATAGTCGCTCAAACACACTAACCAACACGTGCTACGTATTATTTTGGTGCGGTGACTGTTTTCCTTGCCGTAAAAGGAAATGCTGGAATTTGTCTTGGCGAGGGGCACGTTTGAAGCCAAAGGTCCTCGTCGGCGCTCTCTTCTCGCCATCCTACCGCGATCGTGCATTGGCACGAGTCGAAGGTAGAGGAAAGCGCGTGCCAGCGAAATCTTACGCGCTCTGGTTATCTTGTCAGTGCAAGGCTTGATGAGGGGAGTTGTGACAGAAGTATTGGACAACGAAGCACGACCGACGGCGTGTACCCAAGCAGCAGTTTATGTTTCTCCCCGAGGAGACCTTACGTTTTTTGTGTTAACGTTGCTGCCTCTCACCGCACGGCAATTGGAAGAAGGCGAGAAGTGGGAAGACGTTGAAATCATCAACGTCTACCCTACTTTAACTTTTCGAGAGCTCACTGACCACAATAAGAGCTATTGTTCCGAGCAAGGCCGACTTGGCGTGCAAAAAAAAGGGGGGGGGGACGAAGCCGCATCGAGAACAACATCCGAGAAACGGTGCGAGACCACGGGTCGTGAGGATCGAAAACCTGGGCTCTCTAGAAGAAGACTACCTGCGGATTAGCCATGCCTCAGCGACTGCACTAGTAGTAGTTCCGAGCAAAAGGTGCAACCAAGACATCCGAGAAACGACTCCTGGGTCGTGAAGACCGACAACCGGGGGTCTCTCATGTACGGCTACCTTTAACGACTGCGCTGTCGAAGTCCTCCTCCGGCCGAGACCCCAACGCGTCACTAGTGTGTGCGATGAGTGTGTGCGATACAAGTGAAGGAAGTTCAGAGCAACGACAAGACGAGGCGCACGCGAGAGAGGTATACATACCTGCGTGATTACTTGGGTTCCCGCTTCGCAGCTGACCGGCCTGAACGCCTCCACGAGCGTGGCGAAGTCTTCCTTGCCGCAGTTCTTGAAGAGCACGCTTTGTTTGATGGCCTTCAGGATCAGCTCGGCGGTTGCCTCTGGCTTAGGTATGATCTGGATCATTCGTTGGTGCGAACAATGGGGTCGTATTACGGGCGGCGGTTGCCTCTGGCTTAGGTATGATCTGGATCATATATTGGTAAGAGCAATGGAGGTGGCATTGCGGGCGGGATCGACTAAGGGGAAAAGTGTGAGCCCGGGGCATGCGAGCGCAAGTAATTCATCGACTTGCCGATGACCGTCGATCTCCTTCGGCACTGCAGTATGTGTTCTACCGTGGACGAGCGCTGCAGTTTGAGGGGGGTCGATCCAACAAGCGTCCGAACCTCAGACGTACGTTGTGGTTTTGTCAATCCGAACGCCTCTCTAGAATACACCCCGCAGGGGCAGATGGTCGTAAGGCAAACATGCCCTAGCGAGATGGTAATTCCAGCTGTTTTTTGTAGAAAATATACACTCCTTCAAAGCGTTCCTACAGCAGCCATATCGTCTACCGAGGGTACTGCATTCACCACCCGCGGATGTAGAAGGCGACACGCGACATCTCAAAGCCGACGTTTTCGATCCGCCAAATAACAAGTGTGTGTGTGTGTGTTTTCGTCCTATTTATT